ACCCGGGGCCCTGAGGGCCTCATCATAGGAGATATTCTCAGGAAGCCTTCTACCACATTGCCTCCTACGTCACTGCTGGTGGTTTCATCTGTGGACCTTAAATAGTTGTTGTTTTGGGGTTTTTTTTCCTTAATCCTTAATGTAATTTAAGTGTTTTACAAACAGAAAGTCATTTTTATGGTTATTATTAAAATTATTATTAAATACATGTAACATCCTCACAAGGCCCACTTTTGATTTAAGATGTAACAAACATAAAGGTGCAGTTAGATCTATTTAATGTGATAAACACAACAGCAACATTTACAAAATTTTCCTTTTTTTTTTTAAATAGCATTATTTGGAAAATAAAAACTAAGTCTCCGGTGCACTTAGCCTGATGACTACCTCCTCCAAATTTCTAGTAAAGTGTCAGTTTTCGGAAAGTGCTTTGTGGTCTTCGGACTAAGTGTACATTTCAAAACATCCATATTCTGAGTTAATGCATTTGCATTCTGACTTCTGAGTGGAGCTACATATTGCTGAGATTGCAAATGCAAAATGCAAAGGAGTAAGGAGTGAAGACCTATCGGATACCCATAGAACTCTTAATGGTTTTTCATTCTTCCTTCTCTCTCTCAATAGAGTGCCAACTGGAAGCATCCAAGTCAAATAATATAAAGATGATCTGTGCGCAGGGTTTGAATTATAAAACCATGTGAGATGGATACTAGTGAAAAAAATGCAACACGTAGCCAAGCGTAACTCTCTCATTTTATAGATTAGAAAACCGACACTAACTTCATTTATTTCTATTAAGACTGTTTTCAAGATAGCAACCAATACACGTGCTTTTTTATCGACGTTATTGACTCTAATTTTTAAATCAATTGTAATACTTTTCAATTGGCTACAATACTAAATATCTGATGTCCTAGACACAGATATGGTCTTTTCTATATATCTTCCTTTATAGAGCCTATGTGTACAGCAATGGGAAAGTCTGCTGTTAGGGACTTCTCCAAACTCCTGAAGAGCAATGAATGATGTCAGTCTAAAGACTACAGTGTGCCTGATTCAAACTGTAGTTTTGCCAACAATTTGCTATACATCTAATAGCTGGACAGTGATAAGGATAACAGAAGAAGTGATCTTTGATCTGTGATGTTGGAGAAAGAAGATCAAAGACTGTCTCATGGACTTCCAAAAGAATAAGCACATATGTCTTAGAGAAAGTGAAACCAGAGTACTCCATCAAGGCAAGGACGATGAAGCTTTTGCTCATACTGTTGGCATGTTGTGAGGAGAGGTTATTCCTTTGACATAAACATCATGCTGGGTTAAGTGGAGGGTCAGAAAAAGAGAGGAAAATCCTTAAGGCAAAGGAATCATACAATGACTGCTGCAATGGGCTCCAGACTGTAAGAGATGATAGAGATGACAGGATTCAGATCTGTTGTTCAAAGGGTTGCTATGAGTAGAACTTCACTTGAAGTTGCTTAACAACAACAAAATGGACTGTGTAGGTCCCAACTCTTCTCACTATTTCTTAGTTTTTGGAATTGACAGAAAACCTCATAAGCAGTTCCTTACTTGCATGCGGACTCCCAAGCTGTAAAACAACCCAGTGGTAGATGGGATTTGGTCCAGAACTTAAGAACAATAAATGACATAGTTGAGCCTCTACATCTTGTGGTTCCTAACCTTTATAGTATAATAGACAAAGTGCTAGTCAATAAGCCTTTTATTTTAAGAACTACCTTCCCTCTGTAACTTGATTTGTGCCACTGTTAGAACCTCTACTTGGAATATTATTGCTTTTAATTTTTTTACTCAAGTACTTTTAACTTGTTAGTTTAATTTGTGTCTTCTAGGCTGCAACAGTTCCATGATGCACCTTTAAGGATATGAGCATGTATGGCTAAGCACGATTGATGAGTGCATCTAAATTCCAAAACCAATCTCCACAATAGTCTACATGTTTCCTATTGCCAAACAGGCCCTTTAGAGTAGTGAGAGAAGATCTTCACCCTGAAACCTACAGTGTCCCTTTTCAGCAGAAAGTAGCTAAGAGGCTACGCCATCCCTTTTCTTTATGAATCAGGGTGAAATCTCTCTCAGAGAGTAGTGATAGGGAATGGCAAAGGACACACTGACAAAGTAGATTAATCAGAACTGGTTTTGACAAGTGCTGTGGCAATGGGACAATTAAAACAGACTTTCAAGAAAAAAAAAGAGGAATGAAGTGGGGGGGTAGAGAAAATAGTGCAACAGTGAATGAATGGAAATCCAAAATCTCTGTAAATGTTCATTAAAATTAATAAAATAATTTTTTTAAAAAAATGGGCTGTGTGGGTCTTTTAGATTATTGCCTTTTAGGTTATTTCCTTTTATATAAGAAAAGCCTGGGGAATTTCTTCTTAGTGTTTGTTTTAAAGGAAATGCCTTCATGCAATCTTGAGATTGGAGAGAAGTCTTTTCTCCATACATTTTAGAAGCATTCTCTTCTTGGAATTATTTTCCTGTATAATTACTGTCCCTGGCTTCATTGTCAAAGAGTCAGGACGGACTCACACTTGACCCTCCAGTGCGTTTTTGGAAGGCTGTAAATTTTGCTAGAGGAAATCTTACATCTTTCTCCCACAGTGCCACTGGTGGATTTCACCACCTTTGGGCGAGGAGGGTAAATTCTCAGGGTCTACAGGGCCAGAGCTCTTTTTCTCTTTAAGAGAAAACCTGTATTAGCATAACTGTTAATTAGCTGAGTGTCAGGAAGTCTTAGATTCCATTCCTATTTGGGCCCATTTAAGTCTGCCCTTGAATAACGCATTTGTGTTTTTTTTTAATTTAATATATTAACATTTTTAAAGTGAGTTGTTTAAACATGCTGTACATTCAAGACATGAAAAAAAGTCTTTCAACAGACCTTAATTTATATTTTTAAGGTACTTCGTAGAGGTGATTGTGGATAATCACTTTAACCTAAAGAAATAAGGGGCAGCAGGAGTCACATCCATTCCTAGTAAACAAAAACAGGAATGGCGTCCACTTCCTACACCACATGCCTCTGGAAACTCTATGAACTTAGATATAAAGGACAATAATTATAGTAAAGCTTAACACCTTTTGCTCATAGGGTCGCTATGAGTCATGCTTGAGTGACGACAATCAACAGTAAGTTGTTGTTATGTGCCATCGAGTCGCTTGCGACTCATAGCGACCCTATGTACAACAACCCTAAACTCTGCTCTGTCCTGTGCCAATCTCACTGTCTCTGATACACCCATCCCTATTACCCCAGTCACTGAATCAATCCACTTTATAGATTGCCCTCCTGCGCAATCCCTCCACCCTCCCAAGCATGATGTCCCTCTCCAAGGACCTGTCCTTCCTTACACCATGTCCAAAGTGTGTCAACAGTAAGTAGTAATTAAAAAAAAAAACACCAAAAAACCAAACAAACCCACATGCAAAATACCTTAATAACTTTGGAACCATTATTGCTTTTTGAATTTATATGACACTATATTTAATAATCTGATTATTTTAAAAATAATTGTTTTTGAATTATATTTTCCTTGCAATGTCTGTTATTTAAAATAAAGTACTGCCTTAGGAGGATTTGGGGAGTTTGTCTTGAAGAAAGCAGGCACCTATTACGTTAAATAATGCTGGAACGCGATGCGCACTATTATTTTTAGAAAACACTCTTGGGAATTCAAATATTGTTGTTACTCATTAAGTGACTCTAATAACATTTGGCCAATTAAGAAAATCTATATAAGAATAAGAAGTTAAAATAGTGTAGAAGTACAGAAAGAAACTCCCACACCCCACACTTGGGAAAACTCATGCGCTCTCGGAGTGACAGGTTACTGCATGTGCCAGGAATTTGGTCCCTGCAAAGCAAGACGCTCTGCACCGCCATGGCATTCCCAGCCCGGCATGCCAACACCTGGCGTGGTATTTGAGAGCCTTAAAGACTAGGGCGGACTGGTGGGCTCTGGAAGCGTGGGCAGAAAGCTCTGAGCTGTCATGAGGGTTTCCTGTGTGTCAGCAACTTCACTTTGCCCAGATAGCCGGCGGAAGGGTAAAGAGCCCTGGCGGGCCAATCGCTCGCTAGCAGTCACCCCGGCCTGAGCGCACGCTTCACCCTCCCCAGCGACTGCGAGAGCGGCGGCGGGGCCGAGGCTGAGCGCACCCGGACTCAGCGGCCATCGACTCCCTAGAAGCTGCCTCCAGCTGCCGGCAGGCACCCCGGAGCGGAGCCCAGGCAGCTTGCCTGGAGGGATCGGCGGGGGCACGCCCCTTCGTCTCAGCCGAGCGCGGACTCGCCCGGGTGCCCAAACTCCGCCCACCCTCGGGGAACCGAGCTCTCGTGCCCGCCCCCTGCGCTCAGGACGGGGCAGGGCCTTGGGAAGCGGCCCGGAGCTGCACGGAGGGCGGACTGAACGCCGTCCAGAGGTGCACGCGTCTGCAGCCGCGCGCGCTCAGATGGCCTCCAGGGGCTGAACGCAGAAGGCGGAGAGAGGGCTGAGGAAAGGGGCGACGGGCCATAAGCCTGCTTCCAAGGTAGGGACAAGGACGATACCCAAAGGAAGTTGGGTTTTGGCGATAGGAGGCTGGAGAGCACGCTCCCCAAGCCGGAGAGCTTCAACTTGAGCTTGACCTCGCGGCGCCCCGGCCGCCCTCTCTGGCGCGGCCCCGCGGCGCCTCGGGACAGCGCGCGCGCTCGGAAAGTTGCCGGCAGCTGTGTCCTGCGCGCCCTGTTGTGTAACCTTGGCGCGGCCCGGCGTGCGGGGAACTTGCTGGCGCGCCCGCCGGCCCGGCACCGTCGCGGCCCCCCGGCGGCTTTCATGGCCCGTGGCGCGCGCGGAGCCGGAGCCGGCGTGGGCGAGCCCCCGCGCGTCCCCTGCGCCGAGGACCCGCGGCGCCCGCTCCCTTCAGTCCGCCCGCCTTGCCCATGCTCGCTGGGTCCCTCGCCGCCGCGCTCTTGTCGCCGCTTGCCGCTGGGAGCCTAAGTCTGGGAGGCGAGAATGACCGAGGTCCTGTGGCCCGCGGTCCCCAACGGGACGGACGCTGCCTTCCCGGCCGGCCCGGGCTCGCCCTGGGGCAACAGCACGTGGGGGAACAGCTCCGTGGTCGCCGCGACCCCCAGTTTGTTCAGATGCTCCCTGACCAAGACCGGCTTCCAGTTCTACTACCTGCCGGCTGTCTACATCTTGGTGTTCATCATCGGCTTCCTGGGCAACAGCGTGGCCATCTGGATGTTCGTCTTCCACATGAAGCCCTGGAGCGGCATCTCCGTGTACATGTTCAACTTGGCGCTGGCCGACTTCTTGTACGTGCTGACCCTGCCCGCCCTGATCTTCTACTACTTCAATAAGACCGACTGGATCTTCGGGGATGCCATGTGCAAACTACAGCGCTTTATCTTCCACGTGAACCTCTACGGCAGCATCCTGTTCCTGACCTGCATCAGCGCGCACAGGTACAGCGGCGTGGTGTACCCGCTCAAGTCCCTGGGCCGCCTCAAGAAGAAGAACGCCGTGTACATCAGCGTGCTGGTGTGGCTCACCGTGGTGGTGGGCATCTCCCCCATCCTCTTCTACTCGGGCACTGGTCCCCGCAAGAACAAGATCACGTGCTACGACACCACCTCGGACGACTACCTGAGGAGTTACTTCATCTACAGCATGTGCACGACCGTGGCCATGTTCTGTGTCCCCCTGGTGCTGATTTTGGGCTTTTATGGCTTAATCGTGAAAGCTCTCATCTACAACGACTTGGACAACTCACCTTTGAGGAAGAAATCCATTTACTTGGTCATCATCGTGCTGACTGTCTTCGCCGTGTCTTACATCCCTTTCCATGTGATGAAAACCATGAACTTGAGGGCGCGGCTGGATTTCCAGACTCCAGGAATGTGTGATTTCAATGACCGGGTGTATGCCACCTATCAGGTGACAAGAGGTCTGGCCAGTCTCAACAGCTGTGTGGACCCGATTCTCTATTTCTTGGCAGGAGATACTTTCCGAAGGAGACTCTCACGAGCGACCAGGAAAGCCTCCAGAAGAAGTGAAGCAAATTTACAGTCCAAGAGTGAAGACATGACCCTCAATATTTTATCCGAGTTCAAGCAGAATGGAGATACGAGCTTGTGAAGGCGCAGGAAGCCCCCCCCCCACACACCTCACTTTGTAACATGGTAGGCTGCTGAAACGGAGCCAAGTGGGTTTTACCCCTTTAAGTTTCTAGTCAGATTAGAGGAAATGCAGACTAAGAAAGTTTTTTTTTAAAAAAGAGGGGGAGTAGAGATGGCCACACCCACATTTACATTGTTTGGGTTTGCTTTCAAGGATCTCTGTTCTGACTACAAGTATGTGTAATAAAATAATACTGTGCTAGTTAAACATTTACCCCTTCTTCTTCCTTTAAAGTTTACAAGCTTTTCTCTAGATCTACACCTAAGCATGTGGAGTGTGTGCACAGGAGCATTTAACCAATTTGGTTATTATTAATTTCTAAAAAAAGGGCAAGAATCCAACACTTCAGACTTTGAATTTATGGTTCCTGTAACCTTTATTATTTTTCAGGTACTATGTTAGGAATAGGTTGAAATTGTACATCATTAAAAAGATTCGGTAGACTATAGTAAGTTGCTCAACTATCTTATGAAAAAATCTCTGTGCTGTCTGTCTAAAGGTCTTATGAACATGGGTGGGCAGCAGCTGGCTGGGCTTTGAGGAGTTGAATAGAAAATGTAGATGTCGTTTTAAAAGCCTGAAATACCCTGCCCTGCACTTTGGGTGCTAAATGTTTAAAGGTAAAAGATCACACCAATTATCTTAGAAGGGTGGGGGAAGGCATTCAGAATAACCAGAGTGCATATATTTACCTTGTAAAGCACATGAACTCTTGCAGACTTCCTGTGATAAAAGGAGTTGACTTGCACTGCCGCTGTGCGATGCCTTAGAAGTTTGTTTGCATTCTCTGCAAGTGCTCACCCACATCTGTAAAAACAGTTTGCAGAATCACAGATCAACTGCAGACCAAAGTTTAAGTGAAGTGGAATGACTTAGCAAGTTGAGTGGATGTCCAAGTGGGAGGAGGATAAAGCAAGTTTCCACCATTATCCGAAAGTAGAGTGTGCCCATGAAACCTTTTTAAAGCTGAAAGGCAAAGAGGCAATTGCAATTAGTTAATAGAGCAGACACTTTTGACTGTTCTAGACCCTCAAAGTAACCCATGAAATCATGCCAAATGACATACACAACTTAAAAACCACTACTGCGTAGCGTCCACAGGCGCACTTCATAGCTGCGGTGACTTGATGCTGAGCTGGTGAGTGGAGCTCCCTGGTAGATGGTGTGACAGCCCTGGTGCACACTGCCTCCTTAAGGACTTGTTGCAAAACAAATGAAGATACTTTTTTGCCTTTTTTTAAAAAAAGCAGAAAAACTGCTCCTCAGAGTTCTTTCACCTAGCTGAAGTAAGTACTAATATGGCTCTTGTATAAAGCAAAATGAGATAAAGTGAACCTTCCAAAAGCAAAGGAGACCTGTTTTAGCTGAGCTAGAGTAAATGATAGTCTTTCATAATGCACAGCCTGCAAGCATGTTCTCAAGGAGATAGAGAAGAGGCAGTGGGGAATGGGAGAGACGTTTTGGAATGAGGATTTTGGAGGTGATTGAAGTAATTATGTGGAAGTGTTTGTTTCTTAGAATGGTTGGATAGCCTTGGTAATACATGAGGAAGAAGATGAAAGCATAGATTGAATTTAGGTTATTTTGGTTAGATGAGAAAGTTTCCTGTCACCTATTGAGCATATTATTAAGAGAGGCTATTACTTGGGAAGGGACAGCTTTTAGGGCACATTGTTAAGAGGGGCTGTTTCTTGGAAAGGGACAGCATACTTGGAAAAGTGGAGGGTCAGTGAAAGAGAGGAAGACTCTGCCAGATGGCTTGACAGGGTGACTGCAGCAATGAGGTCAAGTGAAGATGGAACAGGTTAGGATAGGATCTAGATTGTAGGATTGTTCACAGGGTCTCTGTGAGTTGCCCTTGACTCAACAGCACCTAACAATAACATCCTAATAGAATGAAAAGCTGCAGTACACTACTGAATTTTACGTATCATATTCAAAGAAAGAACAAAACTTCAAAAAGAACTATGGAAAGAAAAACCACAAAGAATTAAATTTTGAGTATCTGAAGAAAGCTCACAGTGAAAAGTAAGCTATAGAAACTTCTAACCAAACTAGCACTATTGGAAGACTACTGGTGTTTTTTCTTCCTGCCAGTCAGGTATAAAAATACTTAAAAATCTTTAATAACAACTTTCAGATGAATATTGAATTGCTGTTCACCCAGCACTTGGAAGGATCATATTTTTGTTTAAGGCAGCGTGTTGAGGTAGGAAAAAGTAATCTATAAACCCAAACAAATCCAGACTCAAAGGAATTCTTAGTTGTGAAAGCACATGCAAAGCCAGCATCAGAGTCTGGAGCTAATCATGGAGTAACTTATACCCTACATTGTTGGAAAGCACTTTCTAATCGGACTGATATGGGGCAAAACACTGAGGCAAGAATTTCAGGTTTTGTGCAGTGAAGTGACAGGAAAGTCAGAGTTTGAATTCAATCCTTGCAATGCCCACGTGGATTGATTATCTACGAGACTTTCAGTTAATTTTGAGAGCTGCCTTAGGGTAACCTAGTCTCGTAGGGCACCGAGTCACTGAGATCAATGAAGAACAGCCAAATTTAACTTTCATGACAGAGACTTCTTTTAAAAATGTTCATTCTCAATGTATAGAAGTGTAGAAACCAAATTGTGAGGAAATTTTTGAGATGACGAACCACACGTCCTCATTTCAAAGAAAGGAAAAGGTTGCCAGGGTCTGAGTCGCTTGTAATCAGACAGTTGTAGTAGAATCCTGAAAGACTATCTCCAATATGTCATTACAATGACACTTTTCAACATCCTGTTTCGTGAGATAAGATGGTGAGATAAGATGAATGGACCAAAATGGAAATTCCAGAGCTTGTGCCACTCTTGAGTTTGCAGGCTAACGGTCCACATTTCTGTTTCTTCACATTTCCTTTCATTTTCTTCCTTTTAGGTCTTGGGATGCCCATCCTGGCTTAGAGTATGTGTTAAGACATTGTCTCAGCTTCCCGAAAGCTTTCTTTTGGCGTGTGGCCCCAGTGAGGAAGCAGACAGTGGCAAGAAATGTCCTTAATACCACTGGAGATGTCAGCAGTGACATATGAATGCATGCTAATTAGTAACAGCAAATCCAGGCTAACAGAAGCTCTGGAAAGAGCCTTTGCTAGTGATGAAAATGGTTAGAAAGTCAATATGAAAACCTTTGGGTTGAAGTATTTTATTAGTAATGCCAGCAATCTGTTGGCCTTTATATGAAAGAACAAGTCAAATTCTAGAACTTAACCATAAACTGAATTTCATGCTACAGAAATACTTAATTATAAAGTTCTTGTGTTTGGCATCTTTGAGCATCAGTTTGAGTTTACATTTAACAAGGTATTAATTTGGGTTTATACTTTAAGAAACAATTTTAGTCAGAGCTACAATTTGGCGTTAACGCCATGTCATTGCCACATAGTTGCCTGTGAAGTTGTTGGCCCTTTCAAAACTACTCTACATAGATGGAGAAGATTGGTTGACATGCATTTGTTAGTCTTTTGGGGGGACGTGGTGAAGCACACAGAAGATAGAGGCTGGACTGTGTTAATCTGCTACTGCTGTTTTCCAGAACTGTTCAACCTCAATCCTTGACCGAAAATCCTTAGGAACTCACCAAATGCAGTAAGGAGCTATGTATGGTCTGTAAGTCTCTTCTGTCTACCTGGACAGCCGCAAACATGAGCTGCATTTGGATCCAAGACATAACAATGTCTGTAGCAGCTGTGGTGGAACAAGTGGCAGTACTTAAAAGAGTGGTAATAGTTTGAGATCTTGTAAAGCTTTAACTTTGCTGGTCAAATTGTAACCATTACTGTCATATTTATTGGTGAAATTCATAGAACTTTGGTTGTACAGATCCAAAACTTCTTGAAAGATTATGGATACTGATGTAAATTATATTTATTACAATGTATAATACCAGTGTGTCACACTGTTGTATTTTATGTATGATGCATAGATAAAATGAAAGTTGTATGTTATACTTTTAAAATATCATCCCTTAAAATGTTTAAAGGTTCAGAATTTTTTTTCCTTGCTCTAAATTATGAAAATCTGTTTTGTGATACAAGTGATTGGCTTTTCTTAAAAATACTTTTGCATGTTCACCTTTTTTTTTTATTAAGGGTGCTTTCTATGTAGATATAATTGGGTGTCAGATTGTCATAAGATCATTATTAAATGCAGAATATCATAGACTAGTCATGTATTATCTACATTTGATGCAATATCATAGAAGAGTTTTTTCTCTTGTCAGAAGTTTAAGGTGTTGCTTCCAAAAATAGCAGAACTTCCCTTTTCTAGATGCAAAATGGCTTGTCCAGTTTTTTTTGTTGTTGTTGGGTTTTTCTTTTCTTTTTTTATATTTTAAAAGTCTTTTGGAATGGGGATTAGAATTTAAGGAACAACTTTGAGGTGGTAAGAAGAGAAATTCAGCTGGTTCCATTCAACATAGTGCTGCTCAAGTCTGCTAAATCTTTGTATTGTATTTCTTAAGGAAAGTAGTAAAATCTTAATTGCTTAGATAAGAAATTTCTCAGTAACACACTACTAGCAAGTTCAACACTGCTGTTGTTTTTTTCTCTGTCAATTTTAATTCCAGATTTTCTAGTGATAACTATATTATTTGGCTGCTAAGTTCTGTTACATTTTTTAAGTTCTGTTGTACAGTGTATCATACACATCATCAAAAATTACTATGAAGGGGAATATATGTTCTATATAAAATGTGTGAATTTGAATTATATAGTGTTTCAGTGCTTTTGCAAAAAAATGTTTATTTTTATATTTGTGATTTTAATATAGAAAATGAAACTAGATTCCTTGGTGACAACAGTGTCATTGGAAGAGCAGTATGGAAACAGTGTTACTTGACATTTTGAGCTTTCTCAGGTTTACCTTAAAGAAGCGGTAGTGTAACAAAATTCAGACTATTGTGTATATCTTCAGTGAAAGAAATGTACCTT